TCGTATAATCTTGAAAAAACTTTTTTCTTTAAATCTTATGGAAACCTTTTCCAAATCTTTTTCTTTACAACCATTCTCAACGTCTTTTTTACAAACTGTCTCATGCGAACAATGAATATTATTTACCTACGAATGCGTAGATGCCAGGGCTTTTCGACTCTAACAATGCGCTAGACACGTCAGAAAAGATTTTGAAGAATGGAAAACGCCGCAAGATTAAGATAACTTTTTCACTGGCTTTCTACACTCAGAAGCATCATTATTCTGCCGTCTAGGACATCCTTACAGCTATTGTTTCATTATAGCACGTCCTTCGCAATTACGGACTTCCCGAGTAATTAGACGAAGGAAGCGAGATATAATTAAAATGCCTTTGACTTGTTTACTATTATTAATCGCGTCGCGTAAGAGAAATGCAAGAAATTGACAAATACATTTCTTAATATTTAGATATAACGTTATCCTGAGAATTAAAAAGAAAAAAAAATAAGCATTTTTCTAATTATAATTCATAGTAACGAGGAAAAAGTCTTAAATGAGATTTATGCAGGGCAACGGCCTAAACTGGTGCATTCAACTGCAACTGCTCGGTCCCACGTGCTGCGGTTGCACATGTGTGTGTGAGTCGCACGAAAGTGGATGATACGCATACTCGTACAGATTATACCGCGATGCGCACGTGCATGCATTTACGACGGATGCGGAACCAAAAGTGATACGAATGTGCCATAAAGGACTAACCCACAACTTTTAATACTCTAATATTTCCCATTTTTATCATAAAATGTATTAGCGCAAATATTACGAAGTATGTTAAGAAGTGTTGGAATATCTCGAAATAATAGACACGCATTTCATTACACTCTTTACATTCGGTGTTAGAAAAATATTTAAATTAACTTTTAGAATAATGAAAACATTGATTGATCGATTGATTATTCAAAACTCGATCCATTGGTATAGAAATTAGCCGCGGGCTCGTCCCGGATAGGACTTCTCCTGTTTTGGATAACACGCGAGATCGTTATTGCCATTTCGTTAGTGGCATTATATTCGCAAAGTTTCCCAGCGAATTGGCACCGTGGGAAATTACGATTTTATTAAGATCCGATATAGCCGACATCCGCTTATTCATCCCACATATCCTCTGTCGCTTCTGTCCATCCCGCAGAGACATCATGTACGAGATATGTAAGTCTTTTACGTTTTCCGACAACTTTTGCTTGCTTTCCAATAAATGTTCCATAAACCAGTGCACGCGAATGCAATTTATTTCGATGCGCTTTGGGTCGAGAGATCTCGTTGTTTATTCACTCCTGCTCATTTATAGAATATTGAATATGAAAATATAATTGGATAGAAGCGGATGGTATTCAAATCAAACTAGCTGCTGTACTTGAATCAATTCTTTCTTTAATTAACTTGACTGCATTATTTTATGAGACACTATTATTTGATACGTACAAGAATTTTAAAAATATTACAGAAAATTTAGAGAGAGAGAGAGAGAAAATGTTTTATTAATTTTTCAAAATTATTTGACATAAAATAATTTTTAATGTATGTTGGATAAAAATAAGCCATATGAAATTATGTATTTTCACTCTTAATGCCCAAAGTTTTATTATAGAAATAGCGATGAGCTATGGCAAATTTTCCGGAAAAATATCTACCGAGGAAATTTGTAAATGGATCACGCGTTAAGATAAGCCCCCCCGCGCCTAATTACGAATTAAGTTTCGACATACGTGCGGGCGTCGCCATTAATTTCGCCGCGATTTGGTAATCTGCGCGCACAAGGGAGGAATGCAGAGTACCTGCCGCGATTAATTCGCCTCTTTCGTTATCTGGTTACCTGTGCCAAAGCATAACGGTGCACTTAAGGTAATCTCTACTTGGTATTTTTTTTAATCTTATCCCCATTATTTCAAGATTTTCCATGCTCCTCTTTCCCTATGCTTTTCCTTTCCGTTTCTTTCATGCTGGCTACTTTTGGATTATATCGGATAAATTTTTCGAATAAAAAAATTGAAGCGTAAAAAGTCTATAGCTAAAAATAACAATTAAATCTCTGTCAGTCAAGCACTTTCGTTATTAATAAAAGAGCTGACAATAATTTCCCGAAATAACGCAATAAAAATTTATTTCTCCAATTTTATAGTTTCATATACAATACAATCTGAGCGTTTCGGAAACTGATAACAAAAATTAATAGCACATTAAATATGCGAATAATTTATAATAATGGCATAATAATTTATATGAATTATGGAAGTAATAATTTATGCGAGTAATCGCGACCAGAATTTACATTATTTATATAACGCGTATAATTTATATGCAAAGATTGCACAGCCTTTTGATGATCATAATAATAATTCGGTTTTTGTAACTCCAATCCGCGGGCGATTTCTGCGGTCCGATCAATATTCATAGATTCAAAGAACGCGGGATCTCGTATATTTCGGTCGTTTCTAGATTCAAGAAGAATCGTGAATTTGTAATTAAAACGAACGAGGCATTAATATCCGAGGGAAGGTCAATAGCGGTATAAATCGAAGAAACACTAGTCGAAAGAGTTATGACGAACGTAGTGTAGGCGTGCCGGTGCCGTGAGAAGAACAAGACGAAAAAGAACCTGTTTTCTTCGAAGGAGCGTTCAGCTCCTGAAGGTACCTGCGCGGTTTAATTCTCTGCCCGCCGCATTACATGCCTAGGAAATCGAGAAAGTAAGATATTTGAAAAATATTTGTGTCATTTACGTTTGTCAATCCGTATTATTTATTTATTTGTTACTATTATTTCGCAGTTCTTTTTCCATTACTCTTGCTGTGTGCGCTTTTGCTGTCAACATTGCATTGTATATAATTGATATTGAACTAACTTATACATATTTTTCGATTCTATATCTAATCGATTGCAAGCCCGTATCTCTGTCATCAAATCTTCCCTTGAAATCAATATGTTTGCTGTTCCATCTGGTTCGACATCGGTGAACATTATCATAACCCAGAAAGACGCCGAATGCCGAAACGGTCTCACATCGAGTCGGCTCTCTCGCGAGAATCGAGCGTAAATAAGGCGCCACACGCGTTAAACAACTTACTTCGCGGTACCAGAACCGGTTATGTAACTAATCTCGTATCCGGAAGTTAGTTGTGTCGAGCAACAAGACCAGTTCCCCGCGAATCGAGCACCGGGTATCGCGTATCACGCCTGTCTAAGGGAGTTTAGCGTTTATCCCGCCAAAAAGAGGAAAACGCGCCCGGAAGGAGTACGACACTCCGAAGAAACACTTTCGATCGCATTCAGAATCAATTGATGAAGATTGCTGATGAGGTGGAAACCGCGATTTCAGATCGCCGATAATCGGTACCGACTGCTTGACTGGCTCACTGATAAGCGGCCTGTTTATCCGTTAGTTTAAACTCATTCTTAGTTTTTTTTTTTTTTTTTTTTTAAAGTTGGAAAGCATATTTGAATATATATAAATTCTTGTCATCTGCAAGTAGAAATAAATAGTACTGTCAAATCAACTCATTTTAGATGATAATAGACTGATGATAAATTAACAATTCAAATAGATAATACATGAAAATACCATCACTATTACCATTGCTATTAGATCGTTTATACTTTATAATATATTCTATTCTAATTTGTGTACATAGTTAATATATATATGCACATCGGTACAGACTCGTATGTTGATAAGATCCATAGATTGCATTGTTAGTTCGTGGATTAAAATACTTTTACACGTTCAAGACTCTATAATTTCGTTACTGTCTGAAGTAAATTAAAATCGTGTTAATGTATTTTCTCTCTGCACACGATATCTATTCTTAAAAGTAGGCAAGAAAGAAAAATCTTTAATTCAAATTACACGCAAAATTATTAAGATTCATTCAGCGCAATAAGTCGTTCATTCCAAATCAACATGTTTTCCGTCAACTTTGTTTCAATTATTACAAAAATGTTGTCCATTCTATTTTTAATTATCTGATTTACGCGCGATTTACAATTTTTTCCCAGTTAATATCTTTGAAATATCTATCGACAATGTGTCTCAGCGGGAGAGCAGTCGACGGTTATAATACTTTAATCCGTCGTGTGATACTACAATCGACTGCGCGCGCTCTCAGATATTATATATTCAAAATACCTTTTGAAAACTTTTCAACTCGGTTTTATTTATTTGAAAATATTATCAATTTAACTTTAAGTCGCCTGGTTTTAGCTCTCTTCAAAGTTTTCTCATTTTTCGAAAAAAGTTATTATCACTGAAGATAGCCATTGACAATGTCTCGGCGGGAGGTCATACTCAGCGACCGCAACGCAATGGTTGGTCGCGTGGTACGTGACTACAATCGACTGCAACAGCGTCCAGCTTCCCTCGCGGAGAGAAATCTTCAAGTCCATCGAGAGCGTAGTCCTCCTCCATTTCGACTTATCCACTATTGTATCTTAGATTAACGGTACCCGAAGAGAGCTGCTCGCAACCACTCGAGAGACGCGCACACGCGCAACGAATAAAGAGGATAATGAGAGACGAAGTCGAGAACACGTTGAAGCGAGACGAGAAAGAATATAATATATCGCAAGTGAAAGATGTAACTTGTGAACTCTCCGCACATATACCTTGACAGCACTACTTGCAGAAAATTCCTTTCTTCATTATAGCAATTGATGCTACCCGATTAATCTTTTCACTGAATTTAAATATGATTATTATAATTAATCAGATGTGGCAAGTCAAGTTCCACCGAATTCCATTATACAGAACTTATATAATAAATAATTAAAAAATCTCGCACTTTCTTCATTTTCAGAAGTGAGAAGAATTACGAAAATGTCCAGCGCGGAGTGATTTATCATGATACTCTTCCCTGTCAAAATTTATGTTTTACAAAATTATTTCAATGCCGGAAAAAATATATATTGTTATTGCGTGCAATTGCGTCGTGTCTCAAAGAAAAACTTCCCTTTGATTCTCGAAGATGCTTCCTCGTCGAACGAAGCGGTGCACCTACAGCAACGCCTGCGGAGTCTCAGCACGGAACTGGTGACCCTGAGGAACCGGCTGCACGTAAGTCAACCGGCGAGCACATCAGGTCCGGCGGGCGGCACTTCTGGACCCCTGTCAAAGAGCCCGGAAAAGGGTTGCGCACCCTCCTCGCCCGCGCCAGCGGTACCGCCGAGGACAACCCTGCCGCCCAGTGGCGCGGTATCTCACGGGATCGGTCATTCTGCGGGTCACACATTGACAGCTTCCGCAATTGTTCATCCGCACGTCAATCATGCCAGCGCGAACACGCTCGGCCATAACTCGACCGCAACAAATAATTTAATTTCTGGTTAGTGCACGAATATCTGTCCCGCGCCGGTCACGCGCGCGTATATTAGAGTCTTATGTATCGTAATTAGGATTCCATTATGCGACGTATTTAATTATGCAATCAACATATTTCAATTACCTAACAAAATCGATTGTTTCACAATTTTGATCAGAGGAGGTCTTTATTCATTAACGGATTATCTTCAACATGATCGGAGGTAATATTTATTTTTTCGCGGACATAAAACTTTTGTGGATTTACATGTATAAAAAAAAATGTATCTATTTATGTAAAATAATTAATATTTTGCAAATTTTTGGTATATATTCAGATCTTGATCCTTCGAAACGGCACAACGGAGTGCCTGATGACGGGATAGTATCCTGCGTAACGGCACTAGGATGCCTTCGGTCGCCGCCAATCTCCAGCATCATCGCCGACGTGAAAAACGCGAGGAGCAACCAAAACCAGCAACGATGCCTCCCAAAAAGCACCGCGCCTTCGCCCAGCCCTGCGACCTCCACGGCCTTCGACGACCTTATTCATCTACCCGAACCTCTCACAGAGGATGCCGTGCTCAAGTGTCTTCAAGCTCGTTTCTGTGCCAAGCAGTATCACGTAAGACTAATGCTCTTATTTAATTATGATGTGTTTTAAATATACCGAAATACGAATTTGACATTGGCAGTCGCGGTCGTTAAAAGTTCGAGACTTCTCAAAATCACGACGAATTTGACGTTTAATTCCGAACATACTCGTGTTGTAAAAGTACAGATGTAAAAAGATACCATACCACTCTCCGTTGAAAAAGTCATGATTTTCTATTCCTCAATCTTAGAATCTAAGAGGACTAAAGATTCCAGGAATCCAACATTCATAAGTCCTGTGTATACATACACGCGAGCATTCACGCACGACTAACGTGACCGTGCTGAAGCGGAATGCAAAGAGGCGGTCTCGAGTCACACACGTATTCATAAGTGTACGGGACGGTGGCATTCGTGTTGGTGCCCGCAATAACGCAAACACACCGTGCAGCGCGGCCGATATGCCGCCATTAAGAATTCACCCTGTCTCTCTGGCTGGTTCATGCATGCCACCCCGCCGTAGGAAACCCACGCACAGGTGGCACGCGCGCTTGCATTCCAGCGATCCGATCGGCCAGGTCGGCTTTAATTTTCACGTATTTTGCATTACGCTATTACGTTTATATACGTAACCGAATTGGAATTATTCCGCAAATATAAACTGTTCTACTATTCTTTCACCGGAAACGAGCGCTCGCGTTTATCAGGATCATCTCGTGCGTCGTTCATCATGACACAGGCGGCTATCGACTTTTTGTATCGTTCGGTTTCTTCAAGACTCTCCCTCGTTTAGGCGGTATATTGAGAAACTCCTGATTCCTTCGTAATCTAGGTTTCTCAGGCAAGCGAGGACCTTTTTCTTCACCGATTGCGGTTGATTGGATATCTTCCGACCGCAAGAAGCAACTCGATCATACACTTACAAATTTATTATGCAGCTTGAGCTTCGATATTTTTTAATAGAATTTTTTCAAAAAAATCACCGATAAACTTTTAGTTATAAAATTAAATAAACTGCAGAGTATTGAAAGGACTGACAAACGTTTCTGATAGAAAAATGGTTTTAAATTTATGCAATTTACGGTACCGCAGGAGCTGATGATTAAAATGGCGATAATTTTCTTTGATAATAATAACGTTCCCATTCATTAACCGCACGCACGCAGGTGCATGATCTGTTTAGCTTACAAACGCAGATTCCGACCGCTTTCTTTCCTTCACCTGTGAGTCCCACAGGGGCCCTCACACGAGACTGGTTCTACCCCCTTTCTCCGGACCCCTTATTCTTCCCCGCGCTCGGGGCCACTTTTACTCCGCATCTTATTTTCTTTAATAGCATTCTAATGCCAACGGAGAGGAACTTTAAATATGAATTGAATCACAAATTCGGAGTGTTACAAAGCTCGAAAGAAGTTTACAGATTTTCCCAACGTTTGCTCGCGATATTGTGATTGAAGCGAAAAGTCTGTAGAAAAAAAAAAAAAACAACAGATTTGTTCGAGAGAAGTAATTAAAAATATTATTTTAGACAAACGTGGGTCCTATATTGGTTTGCGTAAACCCTTATACGGATGTTGGAAATCCGTTAACGTTAACGAGCACCAGATCGGTACCATTAGCACCTCAGCTGAACAAGGTTGTCCAGGAAGCCGTGAGACAGCAATCGGAAACCGGGTATCCGCAGGCGATTATCCTTTCCGGTAAGAACGCCAACGGACTCTCTCTCTCTCTCTCTCTCTCTCTCTCTCTCTCTCTCTCTCTCTCTCTCTCTCTCTCTCTCTCTCTCTCTCTCTCTCTCTCCTTTTGCCACTCTCTCCTTTTGCTCTTCCTCTTTCTCTGCATTCCTTTCAGAATAAAGATTTTCAGGACTTTTTCCACAGGAACAAGTGGTTCCGGAAAAACGTACGCTTCAATGCTATTACTTAGACAACTCTTCGACGTCGCCGGCGGCGGACCGGAAACGGACGCTTTCAAACACCTAGCAGCAGCCTTCACGGTCCTCAGATCCTTGGGCTCAGCGAAAACTGCCACAAACTCGGAGAGCTCAAGGATAGTAAGTATCCTGCTTCAAAATGCATGAGATAGAGGAAAATAGCGAAGAAGGGAGGGAAAAAAGCAGATATGGTGAAAAGCAAATATATTATCTACAAGATATCGTCGAACACCGATAGTACAACCGAAAAGATTGCGATTCCACATGCAAATACGAGCTTAAAATGTGGAATAAATTTTTTATATAATAGAAACAGCGCCCGGTAATATTCGTTCAACATTTTAAAGAAACTTAACTGCACTTTCAGGGTCACTTTATCGAAGTTCAAGTGACGGATGGCGCTTTGTACAGAACAAAAATTCATTGTTACTTCCTGGACCAGACGCGAGTGATCAGACCATTGTCAGACGAAAAGAACTACCATATATTTTATCAGATGTTAGCTGGATTGTCACACGATGAACGAGGTGATTCAATTATGATAATTAGTACACTTCTAAAAAAATTAAGGAGAATTTATCCCTTAAGAAATAAATTATTTATTATATCTCGCTATTCTTCATTATACGTATCTTTTGCAGTTAAGTTAAATTTGGAGGGATATAACGTTAAAAATTTGAGGTATCTCCAACACGGCGATACGCGACAAGACGAAGCTGAGGATGCTATTCGTTTTCAAGCCTGGAAAGCTTGTTTGGGTATAAAATTTGAAATAGAAAAGGAAATTCTAAAAATGGATAAACCAAATTTCTTCATTTCCTTTACAACTGAATGTTCAAGTAAAAAGTTATGAGATTAATTTTCACTATACTTCAAAGTTAATTCAAAAATCCTTCATTCTCCCTCAGGCGTTCTGGGCATTCCGTTTTTGGACGTCGTAAGGGTGTTAGCAGCGGTGCTCATCCTCGGCAATGTCGGCTTCACAGATGGCCCCGGCGTGGAAGTGGGCGTGATTGGTGAAAACGAGTTATCCTCCGTAGCTGCACTCCTGGGAGTTCCCCCGCCAGCCTTGTTACGAGGACTCACCTCGAGAACTCACAACGCGCGCGGCCAGCTCGTTAAATCCGTCTGCGACGCCAACATGGTACCGCTATCAGACTTTGTTGATGAGATGAAGCAGTGATGAGCAACTCCCCCGTCTTGCTGTGGGTTGGGATTCACGGATCAAGAAACTCTTTGATCCTGGAATCCCTAAAACATCACAGATTTCGACTCCTGAGACAAGCTCTCGCGTCTTTTGTAAAGTTTCTTTCGCTTTGAATTGAGTCATAATGAAAATGAAATGCTCGCCGCTGTGATCGCACATTATTACATAATAATAATGAAAACATGCTGAGGAATATTTGTTTCTGCGCAGTCTAACATGACCAGGGATTCGTTGGCGAAAGCGCTTTATTGCCGTACCGTAGCTACGATAGTAAGACGAGCTAACAGCTTGAAGAGACTCGGCTCAACTCTCGGCACCCTCTCATCGGACTCCAACGAGTCCGTTCACAATCAAGCGGAAGTTACTAGCCAGCACGCCTCCACCGTTGGTAGTTCGGCAGGTCCTTATTGCAATAGCTGTTACACAACTTTGATATTATTCTATTAATAATTTTGACTATAATAATCTGTTCGAGTATAACAATTGTTTATCGCGTTATTAAATAACTATAACATAACTATAATATAAAGAAGAAATTTTATTTATAATTTTGCATATGGTTTTATTTTAAATAGCCGCATAATTGCGTTTCTGCTATTATTAAGTAAAATTGGAGCGATTATTATTATCATATCGAAAAACCAATATTAGATAGAAAAAAACTCGATTTTTTTCTTCTTGTATCACTTTTACGTCATCACGCGTAAACTTTGTATTTTTAACATGACGAAGGAAATAAAAAGGGAAGATTTTTCAGGAGGGACAGGATCCAGAAGCATGACTGCCCTGAATAACGCTGTACGGCACGCAACGGATGGTTTCATCGGTATCCTAGATATGTTCGGATTTGAGGACCCAAAGCCGAGCCAATTGGAGCACCTCTGCATCAATCTCTGCGCGGAGACGATGCAGCACTTCTACAACACTCACATTTTCAAAAGCTCCATCGAGAGTTGTCGCGACGAAGGTATCCGGTGCGACGTCGAAGTTGACTACGTCGACAACGTGCCATGCATTGATCTCATTTCCTCTTTGGTGAGCTTTTTATATCGAAAGCAACAATCCACCAATCGTATTTTATTACATTTTCCTTTTCTTCTCAAAATAGCTGCCTTTTTTCAAGTTATTTAATTTTCTTACTTTCTCAAAATAATCACAATTATTTTTTCCTCTATTTAAATTTTTGTAGAATACGTTGTTTGTATAAAAAGTAGAACGTTACGCTGATAAAATAAGATTCTAAACTCTCGGATTTTAAGTGTATTAATTCTCTTGACGTTGACGTCGAATTATTTCCTTTTAATTTAGCCACTAGATTGTCTTGTTTTAATGGCGTATTCATTTCGAATTGCAGCGTACCGGATTGCTAAGTATGCTAGATGTAGAAGGTTCTATACATGGAACCGCAGAAAGTTACGTCGCCAAAGTAAAGGTGCAGCACAAGCAAAATCCTCGACTATTCGAGCCAAGGACCGTCGACTGCAGATCCTTCGGTATTCAGCACTTCGCAGGAAGAGTCACTTACGACGCTTCTGATTTTCTGGGTATAGAGAGTCCTTCTACTGCATTTCGTTATAAAGTTTATAATAAATTTTTGACTAGCAATTAAGTTGAGCAATTAATAATAATAATGAAAATAATAGCTAATATACAATTAAAATTTAAACGAATGGAAGCTCGATTTCTCACAATTATCTAATTCGATAATTCTATTTTTGAAGACACGAATAAGGACGTCGTCCCCGATGACTTGGTAGCAGTTTTCTACAAGCACACGTGCAGTTTTGGCTTCGCCACGCATTTGTTCGGCAGCGAGCTGAAAGCATTGTACGCGAACGATACTGTGCCGAGGGGCGTCAGTTTCCGGATATCGCCGACTTCTCACACAGATCTGTAAGTACTTGACGTTGCGACAATAGCACATTATGAAAAATGATTCATCAGCGTATTCAACCTTAATATGTATCTGCAAATCTTTTTTTCTTCCTGCAAATTTTAATTGTTGAAAATCTTCGCTAGTAGCAAATTGGAGATTTGCAAAAGTATTTCCTTTAATTGTTATTTAAACAGTATCGATACTTTTATTAGTGATCGATTGCTTGTGCGATGTGTGTGTGTGTGTGTGTGTCAGTCGCCAAATTTAATAAAAAAAATGACACATACTCTTCGCAGTTTAAATGGAGACGAGCCAATATCGACGTTGACGCAGGACTTTCATACGAGATTAGATAATCTTCTGAGGACTCTGGTCCATGCTAGACCGCACTTCGTCAGATGCATTCGAAGCAACAGCACTGAAACGCCGATGCACCTCGACAGAGGAGTCACGATGCGTCAAATACGCTCACTGCAAGTTCTGGAAACGGTGAACCTCATGGCGGGAGGTGAGATAACGAAATTTGACTTTAATGAAAAAAATCTAAATCTATTAGAAATATTCTCATTAATATCCACATGAGTTCAGACCGATAAAAATAAATACGAAAAATCAGATACGATAATTATAGGCAATAACATTCATGATGATTAATGCAGGATACCCGCACAGAATGCGATTTAAAGCCTTTAACGCGAGATATAGACTGATCGCACCCTTCAAGCAGTTGCGTCGCGCCGAGGAGCAAGCTGTCGAGGACACGAAATTGATTTTGCAGAACGCGCAGCAGCTGAAGAGTAAATTTGGCGCCAGCACTAGCTGGGCCCTCGGTAAGCGGCACATTTTTCTCAGCGAAGGTATCAGGCAACAGCTCGAAAACCTGCGAGCGGAAACACGAAGGAGAGCCGCTACAGTAATACAGGTGGGCTTCTTCTTTAACAATCATCTGAATTTTTCTTTTCCATATAGTTCATTTTTTTTATACAAACGCGTGTAAAACGATTTGTACCATCTTTCTTCTATCATTTAATTTAAGTTGATTTATCCAACATTTCAAAACCCCCTGCAACGTTTCAACAATTGGAAAGAAAGAAAAAACGAAGAATTTTAGATTTAACTTTATGTTAATTTTATTTCCAGACTATGTGGAGAGGATGGCGAGTACGAAAGAGATGGCCTATGAGAAGGACAACTCTAGGAGTAACGTCCGGCATCGGTCAGAAGAAACCTCAGCAGCCACCTACGGGAACCAATACCGGAACCGTTCAGAGAAATGTCACCACTGGCGCAGGAACCGGAACTGGCACTCGTCCAAGACCGCAACCAATCGCTGGCACACCACCTCCCGATCCTTCTGAGAAATGCGCCGACCAGAAGATGATCCAGCAAACTTGTACACTTTTCGGACTGGATCTGGTGAGCATCTAAACACTATTCTCCTACGAAGAGAGAAATTCGAAAAATAAAAAGAGGTAGAAGGAAGAAAAATCGAGAACCTTTTCGAAGAATAACATATAAATTTGTATTTCTTCTTTTAAATTCTATAAAATATAAAAAATGTTATAACGTTGGCTAAGATAGCGAGTTCGGCGAAATATTGGAAAAATAATTTTCTAAGCTAATATAGTCCTCCTTTCATTGTACAGGAGCGACCGCCACCTGTCCCTCCCAGCAGATCCTATACTGTGACCGGAAACACAAAACTTGGTTACCCGCAAACCAGGATTATGAAAATGCCATTTCCAGGTGAGAAAATATACATTGAAGAGAATTTTAATAAACTTTAAACGTATGACTTCGAAATCAGGCTTTACTTTCTCAAATTTTATGATACTTTAAATTATATGATTAATACTTTAATGAATATTTTTTTAAGAATTATATAATCCATATTTTTTAGAAGAGGGCGAAGGTGAGGTGGTCCTCTTGAAAGGAGAGACGGTTTTGGTCATAGGTGCGTCACCCAAACGAGGTTATCTTCTTGTAGAACACAATAACACTACATTACACGTGCCGTATCAGTTCATGGAATTGAAGCCATGTAATATTAATGTCTAATGGTATCATTATTCGGTTGCTTATAAGAAAAGGCTACGATATTGCTATTCTTATAGAGTTTCATAAAATTTAAATTTGATTCAATCACTTTATAGAAATTTATGCCGGAATCGCAACACAATTAAACCAACAAAACTCGAACTTCGTTACTTCGCAATTCTAATGCAGATAAAAACTGTTTGTATTATTTTTAGTTCACAAATTTATTAATCTTCTATGGACTAAAACATCATTTTGAAACGATATATGCGTTATAAAAGAACACGGTTATATTACATGTCATTTATTTATTTAATAAATGAAATAGTTAATTTTATTTATATATTGATCCGTTCTTAAATAAGTAAAAATGAGAAAATTCTTAGAGCAAACTATATGAATTTTTATGGCAAATCTATTTTCTGCAAGTAGCTTTATTATTTTTTCGCGGAAGAAAAATAAGTTTGACCGTAGAGGATTGATAAAACAACAACATCGTTGAACTCTTTTTCGAACACCTTCTAGAACTCGACAGCGTTGTGCTCTTTCCACGTGAGCGTGTGGTTTGCTTCGTCTCGATCATCTCTCGTGTCGTCTCCCGTCTGCCAATTAATTGCCATAAGACCGTCTCGGAGTACGCCGGCAAAAGTTAGGGCACGTGATTAGTATTAAGAGAACGCCGGCGGCGTCACTCGCGGTGGAGTCAGCTCTAAAGGACAGTGAACTTCGTCCTCTAATTAATTACACCTCCCGTTAAACGAGCTTAACGCGGAAGTCACCGCGGCCGTGCTTATCGTTCATTTCAGACACGGCATACTGACTTACCCCAAGCTACGTTCGTCTTCCATGTAGATAAGATTCTCGCGAAGAAGTCTACGGTGCCTGATAAGAAAAGTGTAAGCCAAAAATGCCACGATAGTAGCTTGAAGTCGAGCAAAATGGTAAACGTTTTTGATCGCGGTACTGAAATTGAATAATGTGTATAAATTAAGTAATATATGTTGACGTAGACGGATTTATCTTCGAATTGAATAAATTCGCGTGCTTTTAATAAATCGTACTTTCGCGCGGCTCAATAATTAATTACATTTCTTTCAATAGATTAATTCTTCTAATAATATCACATTATTGCCAATGTTTTAAGTTTTATCAATAAAATATATCAGTTTTCCATCGTATTTTGTGAAAAATAATTCTATTTAAGAATAATTTTAAAATACTCGGCTCACATTATTTTTATCAACCACTGTGCAGGCTAATATGTAGAATTATATTTTCGGGAATAACGAATAGCAATATGTGTACTTGTAGCAGATTACGAATTACACACGTAAACTTACATATATAGAGTATACACGCCATAGTAGAATATGGTTTTACTGTAATACTTTTTACCAACAGTATTCGCTTGTCTATTTTGAATTCTTAGTGCCAATTAGAAAACACTGCCACAATAATATATCTGTATTATAAGATTTGTATTAGTTTATGAATAATCATAATTATGGAACTGGACGTAATTGTCGCCATAGAAGAATCCACTTTGTAGATACACAACAATCGTTTGTTCGTTGATTCCAGTCTAAGAGTCGGGAAAGGAATTCGAAATTTATATCGCATATTTTAATGTGTCTTTCGAAAAATGCGCGAAAGCTGTACATAGAGTAACAATCGTATCTAAGCATAGTTTTAAATATCAGAGCAATATAATGCATATGTATACATATGCAAACGACGTTTGCATATGTATAAAATATAAAGACAAATGTATGTACCTTTGAAAAAGGACAATTAAATAGCAGTTATCGAATATTTTTTTCCATTTTGTCATCATTATTTCCTTTATCCAATTACAGTATATAGAAACGTTTTCATTTTGGCACACTTTATTTTGTATCAGTTTCCGATACAGCATAGCTAATTATATTTAATCTATGATTGGTTAAAGCTTAATTAGTCAATTTTATTTTAGCACAAACAAAGCGGTGAGAGAATACCCATTCAATAAAAACTTAATTTAAGGATTGGATTCCAAAAATTAACTTCTTTTTGTTCACTAAAGATCCTAATTTGTATAATACATATTTCATAAAAAATAAAATTTGCAAATTTTTACTTCTATACGACAAACTTGCACTGAGTTGAAAATGTTTAGAAAATTTGTATGTTTGCACGTACGCATACAGGAAGGAAATTGCATATTTTATAGTGTAAAGAAGCCGCATATTTAGAAAACTGGAAATTCAAGAAACTGGCAATCCCAGGATCTTGCATGTGCTTGAACTTACCTATCGAAATACACCGGCTTTGATACACAACGCTAAACACGTGCCGCGGAATTCATCTCACGAACCAAGAGAGCTTTATAGCGAGACGCGGGATAGAGAAGGAATGTCCCCATGCGCGAGCAGCGTTCTTACATAAACAGATCTTGCGGCACCAGGCATTTACGGAAGCTGGTAAAATTAGAAGCTCCCGACAATCGTATCCGTACGTATCTGCAATGATATCTAGTAGGATTTAAAATATATATAAGAAAAAAAAAAACGGAAGAGAACTGCGTAAAGAGATTGAGAAAAAAATTGGCAACGATGTAAAAGTACATTTTGCACTCGATTACGATCATTCGGGAATCATATTTTTGCGCAGAAACGTGATCTTGCTTTAATTACAGGTCGCCGTTCAATCCCAACTACCGAAACTTCTTTTCAACAATACAACGGCGGAATGCATTTGTGCCCCGGGGTGAAAAAGAGAAAATGGGAATCTCAAAGCAAGAAGAGCAAAGCCGGGGATGAGAAACGAGATCGTGTATTCTACGGTAGGGAAGGGGGCTAAACGCGGAACACGTACGACGCAGATATGTGTTCCTCGTTCCTGTGAAAGCTGCGGAGATAACGATATTGAATCGCGATGCTTCGGACGTCGTCGTTCGACCGTCGCGATCCACTCGAATGCGCCCGACTGACCCGCTTCGCTGAGGAAATCCCGAGAAATCCTAGCAGACAGAGGGCTGCCGTGATCGGCTCTGACACCTTAGGCATACTGTAGAACGAGAAATCAATTGGAGACATAAAATGGAGTAAGGAAACATTTTTCAGCACTTATCGCGCTCTTTGTTGCTTATTTTTTTTTTATCGCTTTCTTTTATTAAAATCGCTAGTCAACGTAAGGCGGGAATGGGAAATCACGAAATTATAGATGAAGAATAATTCTTTGTTATTCTAATGTAATTTAATAATTTTCAGGTAACTTTATATCGTTTCAACTATTATGCAACTGCAACGGAGCTTAAATTGCACAACGAGCGCAGCAATCGCGGATGCATCATCATCTTTAATAACCAATCCGTGCAGCCGTCGGAGCCTTCGAACTTGCCACAGAAACTCAGTTGTTCCGTGGAACGTCAAGGAGACGTAAGAACGAATTCGCGGATCGATAAAACGTCCGCGTGAATTTCTCGCGAGACTCCGCCAATCGAAAACCGCGATGCATAATATCACGAATATTAAATTTCTCATCCTGTCCCCTTCATCCTGTTTCCCGTCCTCCTACTCCCCCGCGTCTTTCCCCATGCATCGGCTGTTGCTTGAAATGCTTTTTTAATATATCTCCGGGAAATATTGACGATACTCGTTTGAGCTTTCGCATTCATAATGCCAATTGGTTCGCGAGTGTTAATAAATGAAATGTCGCCAGGAATTTATGGAATGATACTGCAAATATTTTCACGTAGTGAAAAAGTGATGGTAATATGATAAAACCTTTTCCAAAAATAAAAATAAAGCAGGTTTTAAACACATAATTTAGACATTTTTAGTATATTATAATACAATAACTCGCTTCAAAACTAAAAACAGATAAAAATTGATTTTTTGTTAATAAAAATTGTTATCTATAAAAAGCGTGAAAAAATAAAGTAATAAATTAGCTAAAAATTATATTGAAACAAAATTATCTTTGAAGAAATTATTGTATTTTGACAATGACAAATTATTATATTTTTGATGACTAAAAAATTTATCCACTTTATATTCTAGTTGCAGAAGATTGATCAATGCAGCATTCATGATATGTAAAAGTTATAGCTGAATGTGAGAGGATTAATTTTTCACGCGGCAAACAGCTAGCGAACGCATGTGTCAAAATACGTAGCAACGTCCTGCAAGGCGATTGCGTCGAAACGCCGGAGGACGATGGCCGGCCGATTGAAATGCAAATGATAGCGGTCGACGTTATTTCGGCCCGGCCACGTGTACATGTCCCGGCGAGTGCGCTTGTTTCAAATTCGATCGCGCCCTTTTCCCTGGGTATCGCGACACGCAAACAAGCGGCGTCGTTACAAAAATCCCCGCTATCAAGCCGCAACTAACAATGAGGTCACCATCAACGTCGCCGTTGCGCCCGGATAGGCCGTAATTTCAATTCAAAGTTAAAGTAAAATTTACGTCTCCGATAAAATAAATCTTACTTAGAATCAGCTTGAAAAAAGTGGTATTTCGCTATTTAATATTTCTTCCAGCTTAATTAGCTTCAAGGAACATTTTAATTTGTAAAAAATATTTTAACGTAAATTGGCGCTATAATTAAATTTTTCACAAAGTTTTGAGCATTGAAAACGTTAGCGCAGTAATCAATTCGTCTGACCTATAAAATTAATAAATAAAATACATTGAGAATTTGTATCCATTTTTGAATTTTATGATGAACGAAATATCTGCAAATTAAACCAGAGATAAAATTTGAAACACACAGTACAGAGTGTCGATATTGTAACATTTATAACGCGAGCAATTCACGAAGCTGTTGCTCGAAAGTTTCTCACCATGTTTAATGAATACGCATCGAATCTTCAATCGATTTTACCGATTCGATTTTTTTAAATGTATAATCGGCCAAATACAATAATAATTCTCTCTATTCGATAATACGCGCAAAATCAACAATAGCGTAAAGCTCTATCCAGCAATGTTGTTGGTAAATAAACGCAAAAAAACACTTCCAAAATCCTTTTTAAATCT